ACCATGCAACCTTTGCCCTCCACTTGGGCCTAAGCCTTTCTAACACCAAAAATAGGTCCAAGAGCCACAAAAAATATGTCTAGGTTTTGTTCCCACCCTAATCAAATACCTTAGCCCAAAAATAAAAGCCTATGATCTAAAGCACCCCATAATACAAGGGTAAAATGGGAAATATAAAAGAAAATAAATCCTATGACTAAAATACCCCAAAATACAAGGGTAAAATTGAAAATACAAGTAAAATAGATCCTATGTCTAAGATACCCCAAAATAAAAGGGTAAAATAGGAAATTAAAGACAAGGGCAAAATAGGCAAAAAAATAAATGCTATAAAAACGTAAGAGCTAAGGCCAAAAAGTAGGCTTACTCCTCCTATGGTTTTTCAACACTAACCCATTCCTGTTGCCACCTTCAATATATCACCTCTTGGTCTTCTTGGCCTTAGTGTTATTCCATCATATCTCATCAAGGTTTAGGATGTGTTATTATGCAAGATAGGTGGGATGTGGCCTATGCATCTAGACAGTTGAAGACTCATGAACGAAATTATCCTACGCATGATCTGGAGTTGGCTGTGGTGGTTTTTGCTCTGAAGATTTGGAGGCATTATCTCTATGGAGCAAAGTTTGATATGTTCAGCGATGATAAGAGTAAAACATTTATTTGATCAGAAAGAGTTGAATATGAGGCAAAGGAGGTGGATTGAGTTTCTAAAGGATTATGACTTTCAGCTGATGTATCATCTAGGTAAAGCGAATGTGGTGGCAGATTCTTTGAGCACGAGTATATCTGATACCCGACGGGAACAGGGATGAAGATGAAAATCTATACCCGACGAGTATGAAAACGGGAACGAGAATGAGTTTAACTCGCGGGAACGGAAACGGATATCATGAAACACGTAACCGCCCCGCCCGTTCCCATCCCTAACGTTCATTTTCAACTTTTTATTCTGGCGATAATCAAGGGTGTTTTTTTTTTGTCATGTAGTAGCATTTGTCTTCTGATAATGGTTATTCTGGTCGGGAAGGTTTGTGAGGTTAGTCAATCAAATTAAGAAAATATTAAATAAATTTTTAAACACTACATAAGTTCCTAAATTTCATCATGCATTGTCATTCACTTTAGTCACATTTTTTTTTAAAAATTTTTTTTTGGATGGTTGTCTTATAATTTTGACACAGGCATCTCTAGTTTATTATAATATTTGGACTATTGCTTACTCAACCAATTTTTCATGTAATAAATATCATGGATTTGATATTAAATAAATCGTCTACATAATTGGTGAGTATATGATGTCTAACTTCTATATTAACTACAGAGTTAACTTTGGTACCTCATGATTTTAAATTAAAAATTTTAGATAAAAATAGTTTAAACATTACAATCAAAATATTTTAAAATTCATCTCTTTC